AGAATAAATATCAATAATATGCAAAGTTACACAGTTTACACTTTTTTTGTTGGTTTGTTGTTTTGTTTTGTGAGACAGGGTCTGGCTCTGTCACCCAGGCTGTATTGCAGTGGCACAATCTCAGCTCACTGCAACCTCAGCCTCCTAGGCAATCCTCACCTCAGCTTCCCAAGTAGATGAGACTACAGGTACATGCCACCACACCCAGCTAATTTTTGTATTTTTAGTAGAGACATGGTTTTGCCATTTTGGCCAGGCTAGCTTTGAACTCCTGGCCTCAAGTGATCCTTCAGCCTTGGCCTCCCAAAGTGCTGGGATTACAGGCATGAGCCACTGCACCTGGTCAATTTCCATTATATACTGTTAAAAAGACAAAAGGCAGCATTTATTGTATGAATCCTATTTATAAAATATTGTATCCATATGTATATTTATTATCATTATTATTGAGACAGAGTCTTGCCTTGTTGCCCAGGCTAGAGGGCAGTGGCACAATCTCAGCTCACTGCAACCTCTGCCTCCTGGGTTCAAGTGATTCTCCTGCCTTGACCTCCAGAGTAGCTGGGATTATAGGCACCTGTTACCATGCCTGGCTAATTTTTGTATGTTTAGTAGAAAGGGGGTTTCACCGTGTTGGCCAGGCTGGTTTTGAACTCCTGACCTCAGGTGATCCACCCACCTCCACCTTCCAAAGTGCTGGGATTACAGGCTTGAGCCACCAATATACATTATATGTGTATGTGTATTTATGCGTGTTTTAGGATTTCCTCCCTTCCTTCCCTCCTTCCCTCCCTCCCTCCCTCCCTTCCTTGCTTCCTTCCTTTTAGAGACAGGGTCTCACTCTCACTCAGGCTGGAGTGCAGTGGCATGATCATAGCTCACTGTAAGGTCGAATTCCTGGGTTCAAGTGATCCTCCCACCTTGGCCTTCAGAGTAGCATACAACTACAGCTGCGCACCACCATGCCCGGATAGTTTTTTACTTTTTGTAGAGAAGGGTCTTGCCATGCTGCCTAGGTCTCAAACTCCTGGCCTGAAGCAATCCTTTGGCCTCAGCCTCCCAAAGTGCTGGTATTACAGGTATGAGCCACTATGCCTGGACCTTTCTTTTTTAAATCGACTTTGTAATTTTGGAATAATTTTAGATTACAGAAAAGTTGCTAAGATAGTGGAGAGTTCCCAAATGCCCTTTACCCAATTTTGTTAACATCTTACATTAACCATGATACACTTGTGAAAATAAAGAAATTAACATTGGGGTATTACTATTAACTAAGCTACAGACATTATTCAAATTTCACCAGTTTTCCCACTGATGTGCTTTTCTGTTACAGGATTCTATTCAGGATACCATATTGCATTGAGTTTTCACGTCTCCTTAGTCTCTTCTGATCTGTAACAGTTTCTGAGTCCTTTCTTGGTTTTCTTAACCTTGACAGTTTTGAAGAATACTGGTCAGGTATTTTGTAGAAGGCTCTTTAATTTGGGTTTGTCTGATGTTTTCCCCATGATTACAGTAGGGTTCTGGGTTTCTGAAAGGTATATTACAGGGGTAAAGTGTCCTCATCACATCATTTCAGGGGGGTCCATGATATTAACACGACATGCAGGTGATGTTCACCTTGATCACTTGGTTAATGCATTGTCTGCCAGGTTTCTCCACT